GTTTGGAATGCAATTTTCTCAACATCTTTAGCTTTCACTTTCAATTGATGGTACTCGGATCTCAAATCAATCTTTGAAAATACTTGTGAACCCTGCAATTGATCAAATAAATCATCAATACGAGGGAGAAAGGTATTTGTTCTTGATCGTTACCTTATTCCAATCTCGGTAATCGATACAAAAATGTAATGTTCCGTCTTTCTTTTTGACAAATAGGACCGGCGTACCCCAAGGCGAAGTGCTAGGTCAGATGAACCCTTTATCAACCAAATCTTGCAACTGATCTTTTAGTTATTTAATTTTAGCTGTTGACATTCGATACGGGGTTTTCGAGATAGGTTGATACCTGGCACAACCTCAATGGTAAATTCAATTTCTCTATCAACTAATTCCCCTGGCTATTCTTCCAGAAACACATTTGGAAATTCTCTAACTATCGGAATAGCATCCAAGATAGTATCCGTAGATTAGACAATCAAAATACTACATAGATAACCTAGACACCCCTTCTTCAGTAGTTTACATGCTTTCATTGCCGAAATTAGGTAAGGTGGAGGTATAACGGCGTTATCCTCAAACATAAACTCATCATGTCTCGGTGGTCTAAACAAAACTTGTTTCGTCACACAATCTATAGTAACACAACATTTAAATAACCAGTTCATTCCCAAAATTACATCAAAACGTCTTATGTCAAGAGGTAACAAATCCACAAATAATGTAGCAGTCCCACTAAGAATTTCACAAGCACGATATGTAGATGAGAACAAAATAGATTCTCAGATAGAGCAAATACACATAACATATAAGGTAGTGATTCCATAGGTCTATTCAATCTACGTACAAACATAGTAGATACAAAAGAATGTGTCGAACCAGAATCAATTAGCACATAAGCATCTTGATTACAAATAGAAAGCATACCTGAGACAACGACCTTGGTATTCCATGTATCACTTGGGACGAGTGCAAAAACTCACTTGGGACGAGTGCAAAAACTCTCCCTTAGTGTATCTCTGGTAACAACAGATCTAGTAGTGTTCCTTGTTATTGAGACTGATCCGGTCGAACTAGCAGCTGGCCTTCCACTTCTTTGATCGTTTTGCGAACAATCTCTGACCATGTGCCCTGTCTTACTACGTCTGAAACATGCTCCAGAAGTGCGGTAGCAAACTCTCGATGCTTTTTGCCACACTCATTACAGGTTGGTGCAGAATCTCTTGTCGAATTAGAGGTATTAAACGTTCCCAAATTTTGTTTCTTCGAAGATGATGATCCCTTATTAGAATAAGAACCATTTTACTTCCCTTTCCATTCAAATGGTCTGTTATGTGATGCTGAATTTGCTTCAGACATTAAAGCTTTGTCAAGAACATCTGTGTACTTCAGTAGTTTCAGAACATTTACTCTCTCTAGGATGGCATTTCGAAGTCCACCCTCAAATGTTTCCTTTTTGTAATCAATATCGACCATGTATGGTGCAAACCTCATTAATTTAGTGAATTGTGCCTCATATTCTGCTACTGTTTGGTAACCTTGCTTCAACCCTTCAAATTTAGATACTTTCTAGTCTTGGATGCATTGAGGGAAGCACTTTTCATAAAATATTTCAAGATAACTCCCACATTTTCATCTCTCACCAACATCCACCATCTGCGGATCTTGCCCTCAAGAGTAAACGCTGCCAACTGGATTTTTTGTGCATCAGTGCATGGAAATACTTCAAATAAGTTTTTCAACGCCAAGTACCCGCGCTCGACTTTCAGAGGGTCAACTCCTTCCCAGAACAATGGCGGTTTCACCTTCTTAAACTTTTTAGTCAAAGCGATTGTATGGTCGTCCGTCTGATGCTCTTGTACCAAAGGTGGCACATGCATTGGTAGAGGTGGAGGTGGTTGTAGCTGTTGTTGCCTTAATGTTTCAGCCATATCTTGGATCATTCTCTTCATTATATCTAGACAGGCAGTAGAATACTCTTCTTTCTCATCAACTCTCGTTCTCACAATTATCAATATGAACTTGCATTATAATAGACACATGAATTACACATATACACATAAGCACAACAATGCATATCTTATATGTGATGTCCTCAACATACATATTATTTTTATGTATATTGGGTATAATTGCATGATTATGTGTTTAATTTGTGTTTATCTGTTTGTCTTTGGAATATCTATTAGAGTACCGACTTAGAATTCGGAATTGAAAGCCTAAACAGAATCAGAAACCAAAATTAACCAGTCAAATAAGCTAATTGGAATATTTAGAATCATATGGTAAGTTTGATTGAAATTTGATTTTGATAAAAATAATTAGATTAAATCAATTAGAATTAATTAGAATTAAGTTTAATTAATTAGCCCTAATCTAATTTCATTAACTTACCTTAATCCAACTATATATATACATATACATCATAAAAACATGTTTAGGAGCTCATTTCTCATCATCCTTTGAGCTGAAAAATTAGAGAGAAATTGGAAGACAACTACTTTAGAGAAAACAAAAAGAAGAATTATGAAGTCTAAGGGGGAGATTTGAGAGAATTAAGCTACTACACCTTCAATTCAAGCTCTAGGTATGAAATTTAACCATAATTCTTGCAAATAGTTCATGTAGGAGTTGGGTTCAAATGATAATAACAATAATTTCTACGTAATTGACAAGTAGATGAAAGAAATGAACTAAATTGGGACATGCATGCATAATTCATCATCTTTAAGTTGATTTTCCCCAAAATCTTTACAAGCATGAAGTTATACCTTCTATTTTTTAAGACACTTGATGATTTTACACTGCTCATCTTATATAATCATACTTTGTAAGGAAAGAGGTTGAATTTATTAATGCATGGCAAAATTGTTGAGTTTTGGGTTTTGTTTTGGAAAATTGAAGGAGGTTTGGGACTATGATTTGAAGATAATCATATATCTTTCAGTTATAAAGTATTTTTACATATCTCTACTAGCCATGCAAGTTTTGGTTATAAAAGTTACGTTTTTGAACTTTAAATGCAATTCTAGAAATTCCAGAATTTGTCCACTTCGCTCGAGCGATGCATCTGTCGCTCAAGTGCACTTTGCATGCATCCAGTATTTTTACAAATATTGATAGTTGGCTCGAGCGACCAAGTTACCGCTCGAGCGACTAACTTTTATTTTGCACCTTGGCTCGAGCAAGCATCAAGCCTAGATTCAAACCATCTAGTACTTTTGCAGACCAAGTGGTTCACTCGAGCGACCAAAGGTGTGCTCGAGCAGAATACCCTATTTTCAGCATTTTTGAAATACATTTCCATATGCATGCTTTCATCCTCATGTTGTTTTAGGCATCCATGGGCATTGTTTAGGCATTCTTAATAAGGAAATTAATTAGAAACACATTAAAAGAGGATTGGATTAAGTAGAACATTTGCTTGAAACTTGTTTTTCAATGTGTGTTTTGTTATGTGAATTGTGTAGATGGACGCTCGAAGCTTAATATCGGCACAACCCGCTGTGAGTAATGTCTTTATAAAGCTATGTTCGAAACGTATTTTGAAATTGTTCAAGATTTGATATTTTGAATCCTATTTTAGTATCTATGAATGAATGTCCTTTTTGAAATTGTATTTGTGGCATCCATTAGTGAGGCCCTTGCTTGGAGGAAACAATACCATGTCTCATGACTCAAACCCACCCCTAGAGGTTTAGGCCATGACCGACTAGTAATCCCAGATTACCTAGCCTCAAAGACAAAACAATAATTAAGAAAAGTAAATGGGGGGCACTACAAAAGTAATATTAAAACATAACTACGTCCATCGAGTGGTGCGTTTATGCAAAGTCCATAAATATTTGAAACTTCAACTTCTTTACAAAGATACAAGTACATAGATGCATCATATCATCATACACACTTGTACTGAAGTTCCATACATAACAAGTTTCCAAAAACAAAAGGGTTAACATAGCTCGACTCCTCTCAAGTCCAAGCACACCTTGCCACGAAGGCACATCAAAGCAGCTTTACAGAAGGGTGGACTCCCGAGGTTTCTCAAAACTTGACACTCCATTTGCTCACCTACATATATATAGGGGAAATGGGTGAGCTAAAGCCCAGTGAATAATATCAAAATAAAGAGATTACATGAATAATGTCAATCATAATTCAAAACATATCTCATGAGTTTCAAAACAAATCATAAATAAGTCCTTGACATATCAAAGTTTATAAACCATATCTCCTATATGGTACATCCATTAGTGCAAAGAAAATGGCTCGAAGGCATACCAAAGGGACCACATGGATCTAACAAAAGGACCATATAGGTCAAGCAAAGGGACCACTTGGGTCAACATCGGAGATCTCTATCCACATATAACAAAGGGCCACAATATTGTTTCTCTCGGGTGGGGGCCTTATAATAGAGGGCCATGGTATTATTACCCCCAAGCGAGGGCTTCACTAGAGGATGCCACAATTACTTTTCAAAAGAGATAATCATTTATTTTTATCAAAATAGCATTTCAAAATAACATTCTTACAATAAATCAATATACATTTTAACACCATAAACAGTGACAATTGCTTGAATTTTTCTTTTTTTGGCCACATTGCGCTCAAAGGGTTGAAGGGTAGTGCATTAGGCTATTCGCAAGGGTTGTGATGTCACGACCTAAACCCATCCCTAAAAGTTTGGATTATGACCGGCCAGTAACCTCTTAATTACTTACGGCCTCAGACAGATTATAGAGAATTCATAATAACGGGGCCTAAGCGGAAGCAAATAAAATAACAGAACGTCCATTGAGCAGTGTTTATATGCCAGGATTTTAAATGTCATATCGTATACAGAAAATTCACATACACAGTTCATACATACAAGTACGAGTATACAAGGAGTTAGCAACCCAAAAATTACATGTTAACAAGGTGTTCAAACAAAAGTCACCAAAGACTAAACAATATTTACCATCACAGAAAATCCCAAAAAACAAAAGGCTCATTTTTTGAGGCTTATCATAGCAGGTCCACCAAAAAGACTCCTAAAGCTGACCTAGGGCTGACCTTTAGGTTGAACACCTACATAAATATATATAAATACAGAGTGAGCGAAGCTCAGTGAATAACAGTAAAGTAAATTAAATGAAGGCATACGACGTAAACCCAATATTTGTCCAAAGTGCAATATTCAGTGCATCCACCATAGTCACGTTAAACATAACGTTATTCATAATCATATTTTCAAACTGGCCTTAGGCCCATTTATTGTGGAACAGCCTTTGGGCCACATGTAACAGAACAGCCTCGAGCCCACAGATGACAGAACGGCCTCGGGCCCAATCACGTGATATTAGTTGCTCAAAATGACCTTAGGTCCAAACACATCTTATCATAAAGTAGATGGAATATCGACATGTGTCCATCTCTCACATAGAACAGTACGACCTTGGGCCTAACATAATGCAGAACAACCTCAAGCCCAACATAGTAACAGATGTTCTAAATAATATAGGGTAGATGGAACATCGATATGTCTCCATCTCCCTCAGCCTTAGGGCCATAGGTCATAAGTAATCCATATCAAACATAATGGCCTCGGGCCTATCATACATAACAAAAACAGAACGACCTTAGGTCCATTTCATATGCTATTGCTATCAAATGCTCAATCATTGAAATCGATACACAAGGTATATAAAGTATGCCATTCACGATCAAAAATACATAAGTTATAACATATCATTACACTACTATTACTCACAGTGATTCGATCGTGCAACGGTCCCTTCTGGCGAGTGACCTGCACATTACACACACACAACTTGATAAGTAATTCATTCTTTTCTTAGCTTCTTCTCTTAATCATTTTACTGTTTCGTTCAATTTATATTCATCTTTAAGCATTTCGGAAGGGCTTAAATACACATTAACAAATTTAAAGGGTCAAAAAGATAAACAAAATGCATCAATTTTCCTTCCAATTTCCCAGAGTGCAGAAGACCCCCACCGCACGTGCTTTTATTTCAGAATGTTCGACTTGCTTGCTCTGTTTTTCGCACATGTGGCTATGCATCCGGCACATGCAACTGTGAGCCCCGCAAGTGTGGTTCTAGGCTCTGTTTGTATAGTCCGAAAATCCAACAAATTCAAGCTTTCCAAATGCATTTCTAAGGCCCAATTCAAGCACTTTGACTTCAAAAACATGACATAAACATAATAAGCATGAAACTCAAGCTCAAAGAGATCATGACTTACTTTAATTTGACATATAGAACCATAATTTCCATATTTCCTTAATTTCCTTCATCTTTTCATGTTATACATGTTGTATATAATTACATATATGCTTACATGAGTTCAAAGCATGCAAAGACTCAAGATTAAATCACAATTTCTCACAATCCAATGCAAATCAAACTAAAAATAAAGGAATTAACTCTTTAATCACACAACCCAAAGACAACATGTTCATTTTCATGAGATGTGTTCAATCAAGATCATAATCTATAAACCCTAGAACTCATTTCATAAGTCTTTCCCAAGATGGAACTCAAATCAAGAAAAATCAAAGGATTTAAAGTTCAATTCTTAAATTTAACCCATATTATCCATAACTCAAAACCTTAGTTCATTTAAATGTTAAATCTTTAACTAAATCCTTGATTTTATGAAATTGATGAGTTATCCACAAGGATCAAAGATATATTAACTTACCTTCACTCAAATCTGTGAATTCTCCCCTTGATTTCTTCAAATTCCTAGCTCTCTCTCTCTCTCTCTCTCTCTCTCTCTCTCTCTCTCTCTCTCTCCTTCCCAAGAGATATTTTATGAGTCCCTAAGCTAAGACTCACACACATATATAGATAATTTAAGCTAATCACCAATTAGATTTAGCTAATAAAGCTCACATGAACTAAAACTAAAACTTAAGCTAATTAAATTCAATTAATTCATTACGAATTGTAATTTTCTAAAATTTCCCCATAAGTTCCAAAAATCATGCTAAACACAGATATAAAGTCAATTTTGGCTTACCGCGCAAAGCTTTCAATTTCCAGTCCAAAGGTTCTAATTTCAACAGATTTTCTCATAACCGACAGATACAAGTTTATAAACATGTAATGCACACATTTAAACATGGAATTTCAAATCACATATAATGAGGGAGTTAAAGCATGTAAAACAGTCGAGTTGTTCACTACAACCAAAAAGGGTTTTACGGCGCGCAATGCACGCCGTAAAAACCCTTCTACAACGTGCAGCGCGCGTCATATTATGACCAGTCACGGAAAGTCATTCACTTTCAACGGCATGCTTCGTACGCTGTTAAAAACTATTTAACGACAAATTTTGTACGTCGTCGTTACTTTTTCTACGACATACTATAGTACGCCGTTAAAAATATTTGACGGCAGATTTTGTGCGTCATTGTTACTTTTTCTACGACTACTTTTGCACGCCATTAATTGGTGAGACAAATAACGACGCTGATTGCGTGCCATAAAATATGTAATACAATGACTTATGCCTGCCGTATAATATGCAATTTTTTTTTATTATTATTTATTTAAATTGAGCAGGTTCTATTTGACCAATTTTGTACAATCTAACAAATATTACAAACAAGTATCACAAAACATCAATCAACCACCACCAAAATATTGTTTAAAACATCAAAAAGAAACTATATCCATAAATTATAAACATTTAACAATTGTCTATACATTCCAAACATTCGAAAACTATATGCTTTAGTTCTAAACTGTACAAAAAGTTTAAACCATCCAAAACTATGCATATCTAACTTTCTAAACATATCGACAACTATTAAGAGATTATCTAAAACTACCGACAATAGTTCCTATAGCAGTTGCAGCTGTAGCAAATCCAGTTGCTCCTATCACAGGGACGAGGGTGCCCAATGTATGTGTTAGGGCACCTAAACCCGTGACAATAGCTGGAGCAACTAACCCTGTTGCATTTTTTGTCTACATGACAAAGGAAACTTCACATAAGTACAAAAACCAACGACTCAATGACAAAAATATTTCTTAAGGTATTAAGAAATGATCGAGAAATTTTAAAACATCAACAAAATATTTCCAAAATTAATAAGATAATTCAATGTCCCCATAAAAGCAATGTCATAATGAAAAATTAGCAAAAATTCATATTTTTTTACAAACAATAGCCAACATATTTTTTGGGGTTTCATTGTATTCAATCTAAGAGCACATGATTTTTTACAAACAATAGCCAACATGTTTTTTCATTACAAATTCCAAATCAGTTTTTGTACGAAAAAAATTTTTTAATGACATATAAGAACTTCTCTAAAACAGTGAAGAAAAATCATGCCTTTGAGAAGGAGAGAAGATAAGAAGAGAACAAGAGAGGAAGAGAAAACCAACCTGTTGACGCCGGATGAACAGAACATAGAAATCAAAGAGAATATAAGAAAATGAGCAGAGTTAGGATTCAAAGGTTCCAAACCAATCGACATACATGCTGTGAAGCTGTTAGTATATTCAAGAAAATCAATTTATAAACAAGTTTAGTTGTGATTTCATAGACAGAATAAACCTTTTTGTTTCTGAGGAAGCATTTGCAAAACAGTAGAAGAGTGAATCTAACAGGAACTAACCTTGTTATACACCCCTATGTATGGAAGAAGCCATCCAAACCCGTCTAAGAGCAAGTTGTAACTGCAGATTTACAGATATTCAATGCTTCTCTTGTCTTTGTTGGACAAGTCAAATGCTTTGGCGGCTGGATGAGAAAGAATAATCACCAAAAATAGGCTTTGACCAAACATAGCTTCTTCTATAACTGTATAATATCATAATTAACGGGATACAAAACCGAAATAACATTTTAATACTACCCATTGAGTCGGAAGGTATTGCAAGAAACCATGAAAGTAATGTTATCGCTGGCAAATAAAGTATTGCCTGCGTAGTGCTCTATGCAATTTTTCCTCTATGTAATGATCACAGTGATTGCCCCAAGTATGCATAACATTTTAGATAATTAGAAAGAACAGATTTATATTAACTTCAATATGGATGTGATAAAATGTTGTAACTACACAGTGCACATGAAGGAATTTATGATTGAAAGTTTGACACTTTTTAGAGTGTGGAATGTACTTGTAGAGTTCCTATGTTATGTGTTGTTGTCTCTGCAATGGTGATCTACAGAACATGGATCACATCACAAGTTAAAAATTTTGAGTTGTAGCTGTCTTTGTTCCTTGCAAAAGTTCTTTACAAATATATCCATGTCACAGGCAGTTAATCTAGCTTACCATGGCTTAGAGGATAATGAACCTGGAACTGTGAGTACTTACTTATCAAGGTAATAGTATAACTTTAAAATCCAAGGGATAAATTTTGCTACAGTGCATCAATACCCTCAATCTAGTGCTACTTTTTGTAACCATTTTATTTGGCAGCCTGGTGCAAAACACATTTGAGGATCTGGAAGACAGTGGATGTGTAAGGTGAATGAAGACAGCGTAAAGCCTACGATGTTGGGTTGAATAGTCTCTCAGCATTACCTAAGCTACATGATCGTGTCAATGTTTGGTTCAAACATAGGCCAAAATACATCACTTGAAGTAAAAATTGCAACATATCGACTATTTAACTTTTATTTTTGTTTTCTTTAAACAATGTTTTAACTCACTTATTTTCATCCCAGGTTTTCCTTCACAGACACTATGATGTCTCTATTAGAAGGCATTTTCTTACTAATACTTAAAAGTCTGCTTTGCAATTACAAGGTTAGGTTGGGCTAGTCCTAAGTTAAATGACCCCAAATCATAAATCAAGGCCAAGTTACTGTGTCAAGGCAATTCCAAACAACAGTCAGATAATTAGCTAATAGATCAACCAGAGCAATGAAAAGAATGTGTTTCTTCTGACTCATGATGTGGACACTGATCTTTTAAGGGAGTGTTTGGAAAGACCCTGTTAAAACCTTTAGTGGATAATTAAGGAGGCTGTGACAGGTTTATGGCCACGTTTAATTCTAGGATGGATTTGAGAAAAGCCTGAATGTATTTTCATGGCTTCAATTCTATTTGGAGGGGGTTGTAAAAGCATTATACCGAAGTGTTGACTTTTTACTGGAAAGAGGAGGTAAGCAAAGTAGTCTCAAGTTCTCAAAATGCTATCACAAGAGGCATGCAATTTTTATTTGAATAAGGAGGCAAATCTAGGATATTGTTTTGGTGAACGATAAATACGCCAATTCCAGGTTGCTTAGGAAGAAATTGTGATCTACTACGCATGCAACAAATACTCCATGCATACTACATGGCTGATAATAAAAAACAAATATATATATATATATATACATAGATGACAATCAAACTTTGAATAAATTACCTCTAAAGGAGTTTCCTTTCTCTCCGCAGCAGCAACAAGTGTTTCAATATTTAAATCAGAGCCAAACGCTGTGCAAGTAAATATAACCAAAACATGCTCACAAAACTAGCACAAGTATACTAAAGACATAAGAGTTTGGCTAGAGGTCACCGGCTGGTTTTTGCTGCCACCGACAATGTATATTGCCGGTCGGCACTGTTTAGTGCCGGTCGGCACTCTTTTTGGCCAAAATGGAATATAAAAATCCATGCATATAGAAACAGAAAATTACTTGCTGAGGTAATTGCTCGAGATGGACGAGCAAAACCAGTACAGTAGAACAGCACAGATGAAGGACTCGATGCAAACTGTAACAAAATTATATGCAAGGAACAAAAAAAATCAGAAACAAAATTTTGATCCCACAAAAAGTAGAAATTACACTGACTACACTTGCAACTGAAAAGGAATCAAAGTGCATGCCTTCTGAGTGCCAGCTACATCAGCTAGACAAATTTACAGAGGCCAATACAAAGCTCTCATTTTAGCTCATTTAAAAGAAGATATGATCAGTACATCACGTTCTTATCATTAAATTAAATTAATAATGCACATTTTTTTAAAAAAAATGTAGTCCCTTTTCCGGACTTTCCAGTACTAGCTTGCAACCCACCCACTTCAATTATAAGGAAAATGATTAATTATCCATGTAAGAGCAACTCAATCTTACAGGTCCTGACAATGATGCACTTTTATGACAAAATTCAAACCTTGATCATAATATTTGATATCCTTCCAAATATTCATAGAAATATACATCCAAACGACAAAATTGAAGAAAATGACCTCAGAAGGTTTAGAACAGTCATAAGGTTTAGAAAACCTTACAATAAGAATGTCATAAAAATTGGTTACCTCCATGGCCATCATAAACACCAAAGAAAGATGTGGATGTGTCCAAATCCAGATGAGCTACATGCTTTAGAACACAACAATTCTCATATGATTACAACACATAATCAGCTAAAAAGACAACTCCAACAAATCTCCAAAAACAATTTACGATTGTTCTAGAGAGCCCTCATGACTGAGAAGATGACAAAAAATTTAAGAGATAAGATGGCATCATTCAAAGAAGAGTACATGTAACACAACACAAAAATAAGATTGAAAATCTTATCAATTTGGGGAATAAATCTTGTCAACATGTCAATCACTACATATGCCAGCTCTTCCATGAGGATCAAAGATGCAGGGGATACCTGGAGTATTAGTGGGAAGAGCAGCACCCCTACATATTTAGGGAATGCCAAACTAATCTCATCGATTGCATTGCCCAAAATATAAAATAAAAAGAGTAAAAATGTAAAGTACTAGAAAATAGCCATATAAAAATAAATAAATAAATGTTCTCAAATAACAAACAACTATTACTTCTAATGCACATTATCTGACTCTATATCATTTATTCACTAGTACCCTTTTTCTTGAAATATAGAATGCCAACACTATGTTCAAAGCAAAAAGGAAGGTAGAAATATGTCTAATATATTTCCCTTTAAAACTAATAAAATGATCAGTGTATGGTAGCATTACAATTCAACCACTTATAACATATCCAACAGCACCACAATACACAAATGAAGTCATAATATGCATTGTTCTTCATCTGACTCAAAATCATTATTCATCTTTCTACAAAATTGTTATTTTTGTAGGTTCATAGTCAAGAATAGAAGCATTACTCCCCCACAGAAAGAATAAAAACGAAACAGATAAAACTATAACAATAAAGAAGTATGAACCACTAATTACTGATGGAAGCCAGATACCAAATAAGGACTGTAACAATGTGTTAAACCTTGAAACAAAGAGTAAGGTCTGTATCACCTTAGCCTTCTCAACCTGTGAACCAAAAAGAAAAAAAAAGAGACTGGTGAATTGAGTCAAGGGCAAATGGACTGGGGGAAAAGCAGACAGAGGTCATGAAAATAGGTGTGAATGTGCTTACATTGCGACCACCCATTTGATTGACATAGTTGGAATCAAGACCGTAAGTACCTAGAGTCATGATACAATGTTGGAACCCCAAAACCAGAGCTTGAACTGCATTATTCAAAAAAAAAAATAAATTTACTTTTTTCTCTTCATTCAAATATTAGTTCTTTGAAGAAAAAAAATATATATTAGAAGTTCAATTGTCATTTCCAATAGACATTAGTGAAAATACCTATGCATAAATCAAATGGCTAAAACAAGTATTCAGAAGGCCTCAAACAAATTCTTCAAAAAGTTTGAATTCATTATCATAATTAATTTTTAATGATCAACTAAGAAGCACGGACACTTCTAAGAAGGTAACGTATCCGTGTCGTATCCGTGTCGGACACCGACACTCTTTGGACACTTTCCCGACACGTGTCCGACACTCTTTAAAACGTGTCCTATTTTTTAAAGACCCGGACACTCTTTAGACACTTGGAGAATACATGTGTATCTCTTAAACACACGTGTCTATCAATTAGACACATGTGAAACCAATTATAAGTTTGAACAAAACAACTTAAGATACAATAATAAAACAAAAATCATATAAATTCATAAGAATTATTGTCATATTTAATATTTTTATTATCTTTGAATGATATATTCATATATATAACATATAATAAATATATAAAATTATATATTTCATGCGTGTCCCCCGCGTGTCGTGTCCTGCATTTTTTAAAAATTAGCGTGTCGGCGTGTCCGTGTCGCATCCGTGTCGTGTCACGTGTCCGTGTCCATGCTTCTTAGATGATCAATAACGAAGGAAAATGGAAAAATTAAAAAATTACCATATTCTCTTCATTCAAATTGTTGAAGAAAAACCATCACTTGCATCTTGATTTTTTTTTTTTTTTTTTGATAAATATCATTTGCATCTTGATTTTTAAATAGAAACATTTCCAATAGACATTATTGAAAATAAAAAAATAAAAAATAAATAAATCAGTTTATATCATTTCTGTATCTGCACATTGCTATATACCTTGGGAAAAAATATATATATAGAAAAGTTCCGCATTAAAAATATGTGGATTAAATTCATCTTGGCGTAATCCACATCACGCCAAGTTTAAATTAACATCATAAATTATTATGGACGCTTTTCTGGGTAAGTAAGCATTTTTGGTATCCAAAAATTGTAAACAATATTCTGAAGGCCCCATACAAATTCTTGAAAAAAGTTTGGTTTGGATTCATTATCTTAATTAATTTTTAAAGATCAAGACAAAAATAAAGTAATATATGTATATATAGGTGATAAATTCAATTCAAAGATTGCAATGATATAAGAAGCAAAAGAATTATTGGATGCTTGGCAACAGCTCCATCACTGAATGTGGTTGTATCTCCTCAAATTAGTGTAAGAAAAAAAAAAAAAAAAAAAAAAACAGAAAGTGGGCAGAGAGAATTCAAATACTACATGACCAACCATAAGTAGTAAACAGAGCAATCTTCATCATGAACAACTATAAGAATTTACATTTCAAGAAATTATTGCTACATTAATAGATGTCATCTCATTAGAACTTTCATAAAAGAAAAAAAAATAAAAGTTTGTACAGTAGGCTTGATCGAGTGTAAACAGCGGACTGAGAGATAACATCAAAAATCAAATTTATGCAATATAAAAACTCCAAATGAAACAACGCATTCTGAAAAACATGACATGTGCATGAATATGTAAAACACACATGTATAATAAAGCTTCCTCAATGCCAGAAAGTTAGGAAGAAGCAGCACGAATAATACTAAGTAGAGCCCCCAAATCTAATAGGTAATATTTACATGGACATTATAGCATGGGGAAGTATTTCAAAAAGAACAATGCATTTACCTTATTTATTCATAACCAATTGTTTATGCATTCAGAATGGTACAAGTGTTTGTAGGAAATGACAGTCAAGGTGTCACCATCCTCATAGTCAACCTGTAGATAACACACCTGATACATGAAGACAAATGTTATCCAAACAAACCTTAATAATTATAATAATCTAAAAACTGCACTCGCAAATCATTGTTTTCATCCTGAGTGCTTTGTGTCTTATAATTCACTGAAGGTAAAGAGGCAATTGTATCAGAAGAAAGCCCTATGCTCTCAGTTCTAACTACTTTCCCCAATGCAAGCAGCTACTAAAATATCAAACCAAACTCCATTAGCAAAGTATAATAATGCTTCAACCAACAAATTTACCTCATATGATAGCTCATTCGGATCTAACTCTTCCCACGTATCCTGAAAGAACCCAGTGACACATGAGATATTAAGAACTAGTTAAGATTAACTTTAAAAGCAACAACTTTGGTAAACATATGCATACAAATGCATACATAACCTGAATTTCATATATATGATTAATAGCCATAGACTAAAAATCTTATTTCATTACAAAAACAGAGAGTGGGGAGAGAGACTTCAAATACTACATGCTTAATTTTTCTTTTTCTTCAAATTTTGTCCATTGTCCATCTCCCCCACACACTACCCATGAGAATGAAACATCTCCTACAGGCAGATTATCAAGCAATCAATTCATGAAGATGAAACATCTCTTGTAGGCAATTTATCAAATTTATGAACATCAATCAATTTTATATATTTCACATACATATCAATCCACGAAATCCAGACATATCCATCAAACTCCAAACCAACAATCAATGCATTCGAAGATGAAAATCTCTCATATTATGACATAAATTAACAAAGAAAAAAGAAGACGGAGAGAGAGAAAAGAACCCAAGCCTTCGAATTTGTCAATAGAAAAAAGAAGAAGCTGAAATTGTTAGGGGAAAAACAATGGATTATCGAAGTTTTCAAGACGCCACCCCCCCCCAATTAAGCTATTAACTATACCCCTGCCTTACCCCTCCCCAGCAATACCCTCTGGTAACCACCCTCAAGGACCAAACTCAGTAATCCCCTCGCCTATCCTCCAAAATCCGACGATCAACCTACCCCTTCCCAGCCCCTCTGCCATCGCAGAACCATAAGAGAGAGAGTGAGAGAGAGAGAGAGAGAGAGATGAGGGGAACAACAAATAATCATACAAATTGAGTCAATCCGAACATACCTCAAGAATCGAACTGAGATTTTTTCCAGATCTAAGCGAAGACAAGAACGAAACCCTTCCCCTTTGAACCGTTGATCGTCGCCGCCACCGAAGAGAGCACCATTCTATGGGGGCATTTCACTGTATAAGCCAAAATAATAAAGGAATTCCCAAACTAAGCCTAGTTGTGAAAGATTTCTCAAAATGAGCTAACTCGCGGTTCATAATCGCGAGTTCAACACTTTTTCACTCCCGTCACCTGAGACTTGCCAAAATTGAAACTTGCTGTTACCAAAAGTGAGTTTCATTAAGAACTCGCGGTTACGAAATGCGAGTTTAATTAAGTTTTTTTCCTTTAAACTCGCTTTTTACAAGCACGATTTCATGCTGAACTCGCTTTTTCAAAACACGAGTTCATCAAAAAATAGATTTCTTCTGAACTCGCTGTTCATAACCACGCGTTTAGAGCAAATTTTTTTTCTTTAAGTGGAATCGTGGTTCACAACCACAATTTTAGAACTTCTATTTAAACCCCCCAGCCCCATGTTTTCCATTCACGCTTTCTCCTCTCCCCACTGCTGTCTCTCTCTCGCTCTTTACTATATGTTCTCTCTCGCTCTTTACTCTCTGTTCTCTCTCTCTCTGGAGCTCGCTGCTCTGTCTCTGGAGCTCCCTCTGATTGATTCAGTACTGTCTCTCTCTCGTTGATATGGCTTCTATCATCTATTTACTGTGAATAAATTAGGATTAAAGTTTATATTTGTGAATATATTTGTGTTTGTGAAAATGTGAATAAATTAGGGTTAGGGTTCATGAATGTGGGGTTAGGGTTAGGGTTTATATTCGTGAATAAAATGTTGTGAAATTAGAAATAATAAATTAGGGTTACGGTTTATATTTGTGAAATTTTAAGTATAGATAATTTGTTGAATGTGTTGAATTTTAATTATAGATAATTTGTTGAATTTGTTTAATTATAGATAATTTGTTGAATTTTAATTATAGATAATCTGTTGAATGTGAAATCTTTTGCTATAGATAATTTGTTGTTGAATTTGTTGAATGTGTTTAATTATAGATAATTTGTTGAATTTTAATTATAGATAATATGTTCGATGTGAAATCTTAAATTTTAAATTAGGGTTAGGGTTAGGGTTAGGGTTTATATTTGTGAAATCTGTTTAGAAATCTGTTGAATGTGAATGTTGAATGGTTTATATTTATCTTAAATCTGTTTATAATTGTGAAATCTGTTGAATGTGAAATCAGATTTGTATTGAATGTGAAATCAGATTTCTGTTCAATGTGAAATCTGTTGAATGTTGCATCTGTTTAGCAAAATTTAAATATTATGTTTGAAATAAGAAAATGAGGGTTATGGTTTTCTATTGAATGTGAAATCAGAAATGAGGGTTTTGGTTTTGAATTAGGGTTTTGAATTGATGAATGTGAAATCATTTTTCAATTAACGGTTTTAAATTGTGAAATCAGAAATGAGGGTTATGGTTTCAGAAATTAGGGGTTAAGAAATTTATGATAAGTTAAAATTTTTAAATAATGTTATATAATTTTTTTTAGGAACAAATAATTTTTACGTAATGAATAGATAATTATCTATAATAATAATAATTACATAAGAAAGAGAAACGTTAATTTGGCTGTAAAAATTATTATTAATTAGGTGATGTGGAGTAGTAATAACTTAAAATTAATAAAGTAACAAAAATAATTTTGTTCTAACTTTCAATTTTTTAAGTAAGAATAAGAAATTACGAGAATAGTTGTTAAAAGGTCGTTCCAAAAAGTCAAAATTAATTCCTCTCTAGCGATGCTCTCTCTAGGGCATCTCCAGTAGGGGTTAGGTCTTGCCCAGTGGTGCAAGTTTTCTCTCGCCATCTACGGTGAATATTGGAGGCCGCTGTGATTGGCGTTATGGTCGACACTATTGCCGATCTAGCTAGTCGGTTAACTTTTACGCCGGATGAACAAGATACTGTGGTCGTGGATGAGTCGTTAACCATGTCCGTTGCCGAGAGGGCTGGGTTAGATTTAGTGGGAAAGGTGCTGACCACTCGCCCTTTCAATACAGAGGCTATGAAGTCTATGCTTCTGCAGATTTGGAGACCAGTGCAAGGGATGGACTTCCATGTCATTGGGGATAATTTGTTCCTGTTTCAATTTCACCATATAGCGGATAAACGCCGGGTGATGCTTAATGGCCCATGGAGTTTTGATAAACACCTTCTTCTCCTGAAGGAGGTGGATGTGCACCTTCAACCCTCCGAGATCCGACTGTCTGAGATTGCCTTTTGGATCCAGGTTCATAATCTGCCTATCCTCAGTATGACTAAGGAGGTGGGTTATCTGATTGGGAATACGATTGGCTCTACTATGGATGTTGAATATGGCGCTGGTGGCCTGGCCGTTGGCCGATATATGCGCATAAGAGTAACACTTAATGTGGCTAAACCGTTGCGCCGGGGCATGAAGATTGCGATCCATAACCGGGAGTCTGTTTGGGTGCATTTTAAATATGAAAGATTACCAAACTTCTGTTATTTTTGTGGCCTTTTGGGGCATAGTGAGAAGGAATGCAATACGCTGCTGTCACTCCCAGATACTGGCTCTGGTAAAGCATTGCAATATGGACCATGGCTACGTGCGGATGTTCAAAAAATGAGACCTCGCCCTCCGTCTCCTGCTGCGAGCCGTAGTCCGAACAGAGGTAAGGATGGTGCTGATGGGCTGTCGGTGCCGGAGACGGAACTTCACCGTGAAACGGGACCAGAGTTGGTCGTGTCCCCTCCTGTTTTGGAAGGTGTCTATCCTTTTGGAAAGGATGATCAATCCGTACGTACACATGCGCAGATTTTGGCGCAGACTGGGGGCGTTGGAGATTTCTTGCCTTCCCAGAAGGAGTGTGAGCGGGAACGTGTGAAGAATGATGATTTTTTGAAATCTGGGCCTCCTCAAGGTGGGCTCGTTCAGGACAAGGTGGCCTCTGGCCCGCCAAAGCCCAGTCAGGAAGCTGGGTTAATTCATGAGGAATTTCTTGCAGCCCATTCTACGGGGAACTATGGGAGTTTGGCCTCGTCTGCGAAGGTTCAGTGTGTGGGCCCATTTATGCCTTCTCATTCGATGGAAATAGACCCAAGGTTAGTGACACCACCTTCTGTTTTGGTGACCAGAGAGGAGCCTCTTATTTCATTAGCACCAGCTGGTAGGGTGGGGAAGAAATGGAAGAAAATAGCTCGTCCTCAAATCGGCGAGTTTGAGCTTGATTCTTTACATGTAGGTCACAAAAGGAGCTTGATTGAAACGACGGTTCTAGCCGATGAAGGTGATTCCAAGGAGAAACGAGTTCGGCTTGATGATCTTGTGGTCGATCTGGATTCAACGGTGGTGGCTGGGACCCAGCCCCACCGACAGCCATGGAAATCATCTGTTGGAACTGCCGTGGGCTTGGGAACCCACGGACAGTTCGTTTTCTTCAGCTCTTGTTGAAGAAGGAAGTTCCCACTCCGGTTTTCTTGATGGAAACCAAACTTGATGCTCGAGCTATGGAGAGGATTTGGTGTAAACTTGGGTTACAGGGGTGTTTTACGGTTGATCGTGTGGGACTCTCGGGAGGTTTAGCTTTATTATGGATTGGTGACATTCAGCTACAGATTAAGAGTTTTTCAAGGGGCCATGTTGATTCAGTTATCCTTTCTGACACTGGGATTGCTTCATGGCGTTTTACTGGGTTCTATGGAAACCCGATCGCTTCTCTACGGAATGATTCGTGGGAACTGTTGCGACGCCTTCAGGATCAGATGCATATGCCGTGGTTGTGTGCGGGAGATTTCAATGAAATTTTGTATGCCCATGAAAAATCTGGAATGGCGGAAAGAAGTCAAAGGCAGATGGATGGATTCCGCCAGGTCCTTTCTGACTGTGACTTAGCTGATTTGGGTTTTGAAGGGGCGGCATTCACTTGGTGTAATGGTCGGGCGGGGGCTGGTTTGATTCGGGAACGTTTGGATAGATGTGTGGCCAATGAGAGGTGGTTACATTTTTTTCCGATGGCTCGGGTCTACCATTTGGGAGGTACATCATCTGACCATCTTCCTATATTATTAGATCTGGACGGGGTTAAAGCTCAGATGGCCCACGGGCCGAAATACCGAAAGTTGTATCGTTTCGAAGCAATGTGGTTGAGGGAGGAGGCTTGTGAAGGCATCATTACACGGGAATGGCACCAAGACAGTAATTTCTCCGGTGTTGAGCTTCTGTCTGGTAAATTGCGAGCTGTGGCTTCTCAGTTACAAGCTTGGAACTGGCAGGTTCTGGGTAATGTGCAGCGTAAGCTGCATATAAAGTTGGCAGACATCCAACGGCTACAAGCTTTGCCGATTCTTAGTGCTATTGATTTGGAGGCGTTGCGTCATGCCCAATTAGAGGTGGATGAGCTCCTTGAAAAAGAATCGGTGATGTGGGCTCAAAGAGCCCGTACAAATTGGTTGAAGGATGGGGATAGAAACACTGCCTTCTTCCATGCGAAAGCTTCCCAACGGCAGAAGAAGAAAGCTATATCTGGTCTGGGAAATGGGAGGGGTGAGTGGTGCTCGAAGCCAGCTGAATTGGAAAAGATTGTGATCAGCTATTTTCAAGATTTGTTTACCACCCATAATCCTCGGGATATGGACGAGGTAGTTGACTGTATTACTCCCTCTTTACCTGCAGGCATGGCTCAGCGTTTGACTAGGCCTTTTGTCGCAGACGAGGTTTGTCTAGCCTTGTTCCAGATGCACCCCACAAAGGCCCCTGGGCCTGATGGTACTCCAGCTCTTTTCTTTCAAAAATTCTGGGATTTGGTAAGCGGCGATGTGTGTCGGGCTGTTTTGGGAATTCTGAATGAGGGGTATGATGTTTCCGAAATCAATAATACTTACATTGTTCTTATTCCAAAAGTGAAACACCCACAATTGCCGAGTCAATTTCGTCCTATAAGCCTGTGCAATGTAGTGTATAAACTAGTTTCGAAAGTCTTAGCTAACAGGATTAAGGAGGTGTTGGCTACGGTTGTGTCAGTCAATCAGAGTGCTTTTGTTCCCGGCCGGGCTATTACAGACAATGTTTTGATGGCGTTCGAAGTATTCCATTTCCTTAAGAATAAAAGATTGGGAACCGGGTTTTTTGCTTT